GACTCGACCCAAACCTCCTTCGTTTTTTCCATCCTCTGCTTCTATCGCGCCGTTTACTATCGTGCTTCGTTTTACTAACGGGACGCGCGGAACAGGCTGGACATCCCAAAGGCGATGGAGAAACTTATTAGTGCCATTAAATTGCAGGGATTTTTGGACAAGAACAGGGATCTCATGAGACCGGACATCTTAAGCCTGCTCAAGAACAGTGATTCAAGATACGTGAGAGATTTACTTGGTGAGAGCGATTATAGAGAGGTCCTTTTCACGCATTCCTCTTCACGCATTCCTCTTCACGCATTTCTCTTCACGCAATTGTCTTCACTACTATGAAGGAGATTGTTAGATAAGTGGAAACCGTTATTGTTTGGCTAGTAACCTTGCCACTGTTCTCTCATTTTTTTCTTTGATTTTCTTCCTTTCAGGAGCCGATCCCTTGGCAGTGTACAGATGGTCGATTCTCAGGTCGTTTTTCAAGGCAGTACATGCTTTCAAAGTGGCTGGCAGAGAATATCGTTCAAGTAAGAAAATAATAAAAGAAAACACTTGTATTTCCCCAAGAGATCTCTCTCCAGAATTTAAATGACCTTGGTTTTTTTTTTTCTAATAGCTTAGCGCGCGCGCAAGGCCTACCTGTTTCCTTAGTAACTGCCATAGTAAAAATCCTTATGTACCGCACAGCCGTGCTTCCGTAACACGACGTGTGCAGTTTCACTTCGCTCGAAAGTTCTCGTCGAGTTTAGCCCCGAGGTTTCAAAACTTTCAAGATTGCTTTCCCGTTCTGTCCCGTTGAAGATAGACCTTTTGGAGCTCAAAATGAAAAGAGAATATGCGATACTTCATTCCCAAACGCGATGCGAATTATGGCTGTAAACAAAAATGAGCTTTCGGACTTCAACTGAGGCTTTACGACATTTGGGATTCTTCATATGAACGGTAAATATTATTTTGAAGTGTTTATATGTCCCAAAAGTCTTGTTCAAAAGAAGATGATGATTATCGTTCAATTTCAGAATTTTCAACACAAAGCTCCGCAGTTTTCTGGTCTTAATTTTTAGTAAACAACAAGCAGGGTAAATCTACCACAAGAGTCTCGTATATTCAGGAAATTTGTAAGTTTTTCGCTTCGTTTTTCGAACGGTTGATATTATTTTTAAGTGTTGATATTTCCTTAAAGTGTTGATCAATAGCAGATTTTAATTTAAAACCGTAGAACTTCAGAATTTTCGAAATTTTCAACACAAACCTAGGCAATTTTCTGGTCGTGAATTCTAGCAAAAAACGATTCAAGCATACTACGCGACCTACTAAGCGGTCTCGTACATGCAAGGAATTCGTTTGTTTTCCACTTCTGAGCTGAAAATTTACAATTCTTTTTTTAAGAACTACTAAAATTAGAAGTGTTCAGGAACTACTAAAAGAAGGAATGTTCTGAATAAGTGTTTTGGAATTAGGCCCGTTAGATTATCATGAAATCCTTATGCGAGTCTCGTGAGCCTTGGTTTGGTATGTGCTGCAAGATAAGATATTTATTTATACCTTGTGAGTAATGTGTCCTTGACCGTTGTAGTAGAGGTCGTACGATGATCGTCATCATTGGTCCTGTTTTCATTTGTCCTCGGCCTTGCTTAGAGTCCTCAATGGGAGGTTTTGTTTAGGTTTTAGTTCTCGAAGATTGGTCGTTGTTAAGTACTTTGTTGTTCATTTCGAATGTCTCGTGAGATTGTTTTGGTTTACATTCGAAAAATATGTTTACTCTGCCAAGGTCAGTTGTCCGGTAAGTCCAAACATGCCTATCGATAGGGTATTTAAGAGCGTGTACTTACAGCTGAATAAGTAGAAGAGAGATGGATTCTCAGAGAGTAAAATGAAGTTCCTGAACAGACTCCTGGTGACTCCTGTTTGCGCGCAGTGTTCGTGGTCGTTTATGCCTTTTCATTTATTCATAGTTTTCGGGTAAATTCGATACAGTTTTAATAAACTCTTTTTTTCCAAGCAGAACTTGTATCTGCATGCTATGTTCCAAAAGAAGTGGTTCATGCTTTAGCTCTGTGTATGTCGAGTTATGAATGGGAAGTGTGAAGAGCACTCAAGCAGCTAGAGTTGCCCTAGGCTGCGCCTCGAGCAACTCTCACGCATCTCTCGTGCTCTCCAAACTTCCCGCATAAGAGCATCAATAAGTCGATGTAAGCACACTAAACATGTACCAATTCTTTAGTGTTACGTACTCTGTAGGAGCTTGACTTTGGCAACAAAGAAAATAAACCCTCCTAGATTTGGTAGTGCTTCAAAGCCTGATTTTCTTTTAGCTGAGAAAAATATAGTCTTATCCCCAGTCTACATTCGTTTTCTTTTAAAAACTTTTCATTTTGTAGGTGGAAAAGCAAATGATCGCGTAGTTACAAGTCCTGGAGGACGAAAGAGGAAAACTGTAAGAAAACTTAATGAATACTGTTATACTTAATGAATACTACCCTATCTTCCGTTTTTTTCCTTATGATTAGATACCATCTGTGAAGCTATAGTCATGAAAAGAGTGTAACTAGTAGAGAGAACTCTCGCTTCCCATCGGTGTGGTTCTGAATGGCCATGGTTCCGTTCTCAGGCCTGGTCTTCGTGTGTTAAATTTTCTTCAGTTTTTGTTATTTTTCGTTGTGGGTATTCTTGTTGTCTTTTGTACTGAAAATCTCAGCGTTTATTTTGATTGTAATTTATTTCATTTACTCCAAGAGTTTGTGTTAGTGGAATCTTCATTGGACTAAGAGGATTTAAAGATCTACTTTTTTTAGCACACGTAATCCGTGTTGTAAGACTATTTAACGTAAAACAGCTAACCGTATTGTTTATTCTTAATACTTTACTCTTAATACTTTGTACAGTAACTTTGTAATGAAGAAATAGGAAATGAATGAATAATCAATTGTAACAGATGAATAGATGAATGAATGAATTAACACTGAACTAAACTGATGAACTGTGGAAATAGAGGAAGAAAAAACACTTAAGCTTTTTACCAGAGATACACGAACTTCCTTGATTGAAGCAATAAACTGAGTCAGTGCCAACATATTTATTACTTAAGTTGATAACCTTGGCCCATGATAAGTTAATCTTGGCAATAAGATCTCTTATGATATTAAAAATTAGCGACCTTTATCTCTTAAAAAAATATAAAGACCGTCCGCTTCTTTTGCATGGCCGTGTTGCCTTTTCCGTTTAGCAGCTATCATTAACCACGCGGTTGAAGTAAGAAACTGTTGTTTAAATCCGTTAGGTCTACAGAGATTGGGAGCAAGATACTGTGAGTCAATTTTTATCGAGTTATAACCGGTTTTATAAATATAAAAGTCCCTTCAGAGAAATCTAAACATAGTTTTCTTTAATTGAAAGAAGTAACAACTAAACGCAAATGACAATACGTTTTAGATAATAATTCAAGTATTCGAGTTAGGGTTTGAACTACAATAATCATTCTTTGATCAGGAGTAGGTTAATGCTGCTACTTAAAGTTTAAACCTTATTTTTTAATTTATTATATCCATTTTGAAATCATTGGTGATCCTTGTAATCTGACTGGCTCTCGTTGGTGTGATTTATTCAAGAATCGCACCATTTTATTGCTCATGGTCAAAGTTTTTTACCAGCCAATGAGGAAGATTAACTACATTACAATAACCAATTGCTTGTTTAACAAAACCAATCAAATTGCAGAAATATGTAAAACATCTTTTGCAACTTTCTACAAACCAGCTCACTCGTCGATCAACAAAACGTTTTTACAGGCTAAAAAATCCTGTATCTGAGCGACTGAATTTTGCGATCTCAAAATGGATGTAATAAAGTTGTAAATGAACTTCGTGTCGTGCACTTGTGATTTCAAGTTAAACTCGTGCTGCGCACTCGTTTGATTTTGAAATCTTGCATATGATTTCAGACCAAACTGGACTCCACTCAGTTCAATAACCATTATATATTTACTTTGATATATTTATCCTTGTCTAGCATAGTGTGAACTTACTTTTTGTCCAGCTACCAGAAGGTTTGATTGCACAGTTGGTGAGAGCAATGACTGCATCGCTATCACAGAAATTGACCGTGGTTCTATTCTCTTGACAGCTTCTTAATGAAACTTGTAACTGTAAGCTAAACCACGTAGACCTGCAACGCGCAGATATATGAATTTCTTCTTTTTTGTTGCAGATCATGAAGGGTTCAAGGTAAGTCCCGCTCTCATTATAGATTTTGTGGATCGTACAAGTTTCGCAAAGCAAATAACGTGGGTGATTTTTGTCACAAAAAGTAATGCTTGAATACTTTTGTTTTATATAAGACTGCATGCTGTTAATTCTGATGAGGGACACTCAAACCACGAAACAGCCAATCTGTTTCGAACAGCTGCAAGGGTGATCAGGTTCGTTTAAGTTCCTTTGTTTGTTTTTTTGATGTGTTCGAAATTTTGAAATTAATGGCGAGAAGAGAGATGTAGAAGTTCAAGCGTTTGGCTTGTTTTTGCGCTGAGTTCTTATTGGCTCTCTGTGTAGAATCCCTTCGTTTTAAATGGCTTCGGTAATTGCTTTTGTTTTGATTTTCTCGACACTAAGTCGAAATGTGCACTGTCACGTCTCTTCACTCACATCTCTCTTTTATTCTCATTTTTTGCAGGAGGAAGCAAAGTAACAAACCGTCGGCCAAGGTGGGAACAGTACTTTCTTCTCTATCCTTTTTTTTATTTCCTTTATTAAAAAATTTCTTAAAGGCTCTCCTCTCCAGCACTCGTTTCGCCTTTCAAACCGCAGAAAAAGTACTCTTGATGTTTATTTTAAAATTCACTTCGTTGTGGTGATTTTTTTTTTTTCAGCCGCTGTCTAAGATTCGTCAAGGTCTAGAAACTAAACGCGACATGACTGTACGAACGTTCGATTACCTGTTCAGAACGATGCAGCGAGGAAAAGGAACGCCCAAAAACCCACCGACAGTCAGCGCTCAGTTTCAGGTTTGTTCCTGTGCGTGGTCAATTTTGCCTGTAGAGGTTTGGGTGGGAACGTGGCAGATTGAAGCGTTGAACATTAACTAATTTGCCTTGAGCTCATCGCGGTGATTTATTTTTGAAGCCTGCTACCATGCTGGCGGTTTTTTTTCTAACAGAAGTATGATATACATGAAGCACGGATGAATGACGAGTCGGATGACGTACTTAAACTTTGCGTTTTCCTATTTTCTTTCCTTTTCTTTCAGTCTTCTCTTAGTCGTCTAGTGGAGCTTCTGGAGGAAGCCCAGCCTTTCTTTGTCCGCTGCATCAGATCCAACGCAGAGAAAGTAAGTTTATCATTAAGCATCTCTTAGCATTGACCATCAGATTCTTTCAACCCCTTAACTTCTTCCTAATCGGTTCGGAAGGTCTCTCTATAATTCTGATTTATTTGCAAGCATAACGACATTGAGAATTATGAGAATTGTGAACCGGGGATATTGTTTCATTTCACTGAATCCGAAGAACTGGCCAACAAGTCGTTGAATGGCCATCTGTTAGATCTTGGGACGTGTTTCGAAAATCCAAGACTCTGTCAGATCAAATTGATAACATTTCTCGGAGAGAACCTACACGTTCATTTTTCATCAATTAATTTTTTTTTCCTGTTCCTTTCCCAGGCTCCAATGAAATTCGATCGCGATCTGGTGGTTCGTCAACTGAGATACACTGGCATGCTGGAGACTGTCCGAATTAGGACTCTTGGCTATCAGTGGCGGTTCACGTTTGAGGTTAGTAATGTAGCTTGTACTTTATTCTGCTGTTTCTCTATTTCTCTACTGATGAACCTCGTGCATGGCTTAGCTTCTTATCAAGTTTTCTGCGGCTCAATGGGTAGCACAGCCTACTGTGAAATCGGAACTTTCATTTATGCCTTCTAACTACTTAGTTCCTGTTTGATTTTGCTGATGAATGCATACTTATGGTAATAATTCTCTGAAATCGTATTTTCCGGTTTGTGTAATTACTCGTTGCATATAACTTTAGCATTCTCAAACCATCCAGCTATTACAACTTCCGTTAAGATCCTTATCTTTGTAGAAAGTGTTCCCTAGATTTCCTAAATAGGAGTCGTCAACGAAACCTAATAGTATACGTAAAGAGAGATGAAAACCGAAGTTTGACACGCCTTGACGTGTTAGTCAGAGGTCACTTGTAGAACCTGTGTTTTACCCACAAAAATGCATATACCATGTTCTTTTTCTAAAAACTATAGGCAATTTGGTAGGTCACTGTTGGGAAGACTCCATTTGAAAAGTTTGCGCCTTGATAATTCCAGCTAACAAGATTATTATTTTGATTACTCTGGACTGATTACAGTGATAAAACGTGACTTTGTCTTTTGCTCTGTCCCCTTTCTTTCTCCGCCCCCACACTTTTTTCCCTAAATTTATTGGATTTTGTCCGACCAATTCCGATGTATGGTAGACAGAATTTCAGAATTTTACTTTCAACTGCTATTTGTGCAACAACTATTTTTAAATGATTGGTGAACAGCTCCTCAGTGAAACCTTAGAAAGAAGTTTATTTTCAAATTCAAACTGAGCTTGTCATCGAATCATGGATCTTCATTAGAAATGAGTGAGTGTTTCCATTCGTGTAGTCTCTCAGTCGCTGTGATTGTTTGGTCTAATCTCAAAGGAAACTTAGATATCAAGAGGAAATCTGCAAATTTCACACTTATGGTTTCA